ATCACACCTCATTACATATTACTAGATTTAACATTGTTTGTTCCTGGGTAGATTCTGCAGCATACTGCCCTAAAGAACAATCTCTGATGCGCTCCAGAAATCCTTGTTACCCACGCCCATCTGATGCGTCCAATCAATATGCAGATTAAAATCACCCATGACAGTTATTGTGATTAATTCTTACATGCCTCCATTATTTTCTGATTTATATTTTGTGCTTCATTGAAGAAACTCTTCAGGTGTCTATAGATAACTCCCATTTGTGATTTCTTTCTCTTGCTATTCCTTATTTCTGCCCAAACTGATTCTATATTGTGATCTATTGCACCTCTATCGTTACACTGATACCTCCATTTTTTAACAAAGCTCCCCCAGTTTTTCCAAAATGTTGAATACCATACCTGTGGATATTGAGATTTGAGTCCTGGTCACCCTGTGACTATATTTCGATAATAGCCATCAAGTCATATTCATTTGTTTTATTTCTGTCTGTGGCACCTGGTCTTGGAGACAGCTAACCATAACTCTGGGCCTTGGGGTGCTGTTAAAAATTTCTCTAAACACTTGGGGTTAGCTGAGTTCACTCTGATCCCCAGGTTGCCAAGCTCCAGGTTTTGAGGGCTGCCCACCATTATTCTGGGCCTTGAATATTGTTGCTGGTCAGGTCTGGGAAATGCTGCTTGAAGTGGGTTTGGCTGAGGGGCTGATGGAGGAAGCTGCAAGGACTGGAGTCAAGGATCGAAGACACTGAAAGGTGTGGGTAGAGGGACACTTCAAGGGATAGGGAGGGATAATTGGAAGGCTGCAAAGAGTGTGGATGAGGTGTAAAATGCTGAAAGATGGAAAGGGAAATGACTCTATAAGGCAGTTGGGAGAAGGTGGCTGGAGAGGGGCAGGTTGAAGAGGAGACTACAAAGGATTGAGAACAATTTCAAACATTTAAAGAAGGGACATTTAGTTACTTGGGGGCCAGGAAAAATCAAAATCACAGAGGTAATATATTCTTTGAAAGGGGTAACAACTGTGCAGAAATGTAACAGATATCTTGAAACTAAGGCAGTCAACTGTTAAATTTAAATCTGTGATTAAGATCTGTGATACCATAAACAGGGTAGTGACTGCCTGGTTAATCTGTTCTAGGCCTGTGTATATGCAATGGAATCACACCTCACCAGTCTACAGAAGGTGCGTTTAGGGCGATGGCTTTGTTTGTGTAGAAGCGTCTGTCACTTATTTTGAAAATAACTTTGATTGATAACTTATGCCTATTGATTATGCCAATTTAAATACTGTCTGTCTAGAAAATTAATGCTTTCCTTATGTGTGGTGGATTGAAGTTTAATGGAGGGTTGATAATTGAAGATATCGATGAATTTGTCTAATTTTGCTTGTGTGTGTGTTGAAATATCCCATAAACCCACTCAAATACAAAAGATATTGTAACTACATGACTGCCTTACTTAATACATGTGCAGTTAGGATTAAAAAGGGGACACTGAAAACCAAGACATAGCCTCTGAAAACTATTAATTAGCCCTTAAGACAAACAGAAATTGTTTCCAACGGCTGAAGGATCGATAAGCACATGGCCCAAATGTGACTTCATTTAAATTGTTTGGCAAAAGAACCAGAACTGGCAGGAGAGAAAAAAAAACTTCTCCACAAACACTCGTTATAATTTGGAAGAAATTTGGCAGGAAGAATGAGGGGAAATAACACACGCTAAATGGTACAGTTTTAAAGAGGATGCAGTAGCAGGGAGCCCTGGGGTTACTTGTACACAGATCTATGAAGGTATCACGTCAGAATAATAAAGTACATGAGATCTCTGTTTTTAATTATATGTGTGGAGTTCAAAACCCAGATAGTTTATTTTTTCATTCATTAATGGGATGTAGGTGTCACTGGCTAGACCAGTATTTATTCCCCATTCCTAATTGCCCAGAGGACAGTTAAGAGTCAACATATTGCTGTGAGTCTGGAGTCACATGTAGGCTAGACCAGGTAAGGATAGAAGATCTCCTTCCCTAAAGGACATTTGTGAACAATATGGGTTATTCCGACAATCAACAATGGCTTCATGGTCATCAGAAGGCCCTTCATTCCAGATTGTTTATTGAATTCAAATTTTACCATCTACCATAGCAGGATTTGAACCCAAGTACCCAGAACATTAGCTGAGTTTCTGGATTAACGATCCAGTAATAATACCACTAGCCCATTGCCTCCCAAATACAATGGAAAATATTAGTTAAGTCCATAAGACCACATCGTTTTATTTTCCATCCAAAATGTTAAAAGGGCTGTTTGAAACCAAGGACTGTGGAAGGATTTGCTGTACTTGTTAAGGCAAGTTGCTGGAACTCATTATGAGTTGTATTTACACAGTCACTGTTTCAAGCAGTCGTGCAAGATGACTGAGACTCAGCAGCACTGTGGGTATGGGTTCAGAGCAAAAATCATCCAGAAACAGTCTGGTCATTTTTTTTAAACTTATGACCAATTTACAATGATTAGTGAAAGACATGAATGCAGTGTTATTACGCAATTAATGGTTACGATTTGGAAAGGATTGCTTGAGAGGGTGAAAGATATGATTTCAATAGCAGCCTACAAAATAGCGCTGAAAATTTGATGGAGAGAAAAAAAATTGCGATGATCTGCAGTTAAGCGAAAAAGCAGGACCAATTGGATTGATCTTTGAAAGCACAGGGACGGACTTGATTCTTTGAAACAACGTGAACTGACATCGTTTTACGAGCTACATGCCGCAGCCACAAAGATAAAGGGTGAGTGTGACATGCTAATGATCCAAGAATCCCTATTCTATTCAATGTGACTGAGAGCTTTTTATCTCTTCTCAGATGGTCTAATTAATGCATATGATGGTGGTGGTTCTATTAATATGCAAATTATCTTCTGACAATATAAACTTGGGCATGGGCATAGTCAATTCAGTTGATGGGTCAGCTTGCAAATCATTGAATGCGGAAGGTGATGACCATTCATTTCCTGTAATTGAAGAAAGTATAGAGTCATAAACGAACAGGAGACTGAAAATATGAAATGGAAGGGTAGTTTTTCAACTAAAAGTGTGGTTTAATATTCTACTCATTTATCAAAGAGAGAATTGAAATGAATTGCAGGTGATCAGGATTATTGACAGCCTTTCCTACACATGCATTTTCTGTGCGTAAATTAAAGAAGCTTAACAATTCATTACTATTGAGATTTGTTGCATTGAATTATTTCTTAATCTCCCACTGAAAGATTGAACAAAGGAACGACATGATGTTAATTTCAATATCACAAGATATTGTTAATCTTACGGGTCATGCAATTGCATAAGCAAAAACTGGATTGTTAAATCATCTGGCTGCGTGCAAGATCCTATGAATCCTTTTGGGAGTGACCAGTCCTGTTGCACTGAGGGACTTGATAGGGCACACCCAACATTGGTAATGGGACATAAAAACTCAATGTTAAACACTGAATTATGTGAACACATGGACAGACATAGGGCTTGGCATACTTAATCTCCTGAAAGCATGAGTACAAGTGGATAACAATATAAAATGATCAAGAGTTTTATAAATAAAGGCAATGTATTGATATAATAAAGTTACAAGAAATTTATACAAAACAATAAGCTGCATTCAGAGCATTTATTCAGTTTTTGATGCCTATGACAGAGGACAATAAACCAAACAGTATAGCTTCATCAAGATGAAAACAAGAAGGGGAAATTACAGTGTGGAATGACGTAAGAAACTCACAAAAGAAGAGGAAGTTAGGATATTGAAAAGGAAATTGGAGCCTTTTGACATTTGAATAGAAGACTTTCACTGAATGGTAGTCAGTTGGAGAATATACTTCAATTGGAGCCTACTAAAGGTAATTGGATAAGTATTTGAAGGAGAATTTTGTTTCAGGAATATGGGGTTAGAGCGAAAGGATGAATTTAAATGGATTATTCTTGGAAAGAACAGAGACTGACTTGATGTGCAGTTCAATCATTCTTCTTTAAAATAATGTGAACTTACATAATTTAAAAACCACATGCTGAAGCCACTGAGATAGAGGGTGAGTGTGATGTACCAGTGATCCAACATTCCTTATTCTGTTCAATATGACTGAGGACCTTTTGGATCTGTTACCTCATCTCAGGTAATCTGATTAAAAACAAAGGTGTGACTGTCAGTTGTTCAAAATTGCTGCTGAGGGAGCGGACTAATTCCTTTATACAGCAAGTCATTGGAAAGTGGAATACATCACCACAAGGAGTCGTTAAAACACAGAATGTTGCATCTCTTAAGCAAAAATTGGATTAAGTAAGTAGACAGTTAAAATGAGTTAAACTGCACCCCACTCTGGCTCCACCTCCACTGACCATCATATAGTGATTGAGGTTCTTGCAGCCAGCTGCTGGATATCACATGGCTATACGCTAATTGGCTTCCTCTGATGGAATTCAGAGTTTACTGAAATTACAATCGCCCACTGAGCGCTGCACTTTGGCAGTCGGTGGGAAAGAAGAGGAGGCTCTTGAAAAGTTAAGTCAAGAACTCTTTAAGGGGAGGTGAACAAGGGCTCCTTTGTGGCACAGAGGGAAAAAATGGGTCCCAGTCTCCCCCACCAACACCAATCACAAAACGACCAAGATTCAGCCTCATTCTGCAACTAACCTTCATGCAGCCTACGGGCCCTTGTTGTCTGCCTGGCTAAAACAAGCAGCTTTTCCTCATACTTTCAAGTGTGCAGCTGGCAGGTAGGATGTAAAGCAAGCTCATCGATTAAAATAAACCTTTGCTTTCCACAGATACTTGTAGGAGTATGAGACATTGTCTCTCACATTCCCTCCTTCCTGCCCACCTACAATCCATCAGCCTGTTTTCCAAACAAGCAGTTAAATCCTAACTTGCAGAAATGACTAAAGAACGTACAAGCGGTGAAGAGACTGGATTGTATCTACTCTTTCTAATTTGTTCTTTCTCTTTCAGTTTGCATTGCAGTTTGGAAGAATCATCACATGCGGACAGTCACAAACTATTTCATAGTTAATTTATCATTTGCTGATATCCTTGTTACAATTATTTGTCTTCCTGCCAGCCTACTTGTTGATATAACTGAGTCATGGTTTTTTGGGCCAGTTTTCTGCAAAATAATTCCTTACTTACAAGTAAGTACATTATCAATTCTGAGACTTCAATGGCTATAAATGCAAATTCTAAGACAGGGTTCATAAAAATAATTTGCATTTATAGAGTGCCATTTGCAAACTTTGGATGCCTCAAAACTGCTTTCAAATAAAATAAAATTACACAATGTAAGCTTAAAACTTCAAGAGCAAAAGTATGTCGCGAATTTTGCAAATGGAAGTATTGAATTGAATTAATTTTATTGTTATGTACTCACATGTGTACAGTGAAAAGCTTATAAGTTTCCACTTACAGCACCTTCTTAGATACAAAGGTATCTAGGTACAGATTCTTGAGTAAAAATTCTTTGGAAAAAAGAATAAGAAAAGTAAAGAAATTACAATGTCCAACATTACAGACCTCCAAAACATGGTAATAAATTAGAAAAAGAAAAAATAAAAAAGTTCAAAATAACAGTCCTTCTACAATAATGACATTAAAAAAGAAATTTTAAAGAAGAGAATTTAAGAAAGTTATATTAATTGTTGACAGCTGAAGAATTACTGCTCTGATGAATTAAAATAATTCAAAGTAATCTATAAATTGTTTAGATTAAGGATGATTCAACCAAGGAGAAGGGCTAACATGGAGGTTTCCTTTTCCTGTGAAGTGCAGCAGAGCCATAAATCTATTTATAAGAAGCACATTTCTAATTGGACTTCATGCAGTACACAGAGAAAGGCTTACTGTCTGATAGTGAAAAGGCACTGATAAATTATCCTACTTGATTCACTGTCAATTCCTTTGATCACACAGTTGACAATGTGCTACATGTATCTATTTTAGACTTGATACATATAGACCAGAAAGGCTTTTACATTCAATTCTGAGTTTGTTAATCTCAGCCAGTGCAGAAATTGGTATGCACCACATTGGATAATAATTCAGCATCTCTGTTCATGGAGGATGGGGAAGGATGAGGCAGCATTCCTGTTTCTAGTTACTGTCTGATGACTGTACTAACAGGTAGGAATGTGTGGATACCAGTTGAAGGTAGCATTGTTCTTCCACTCCATTGTACAGTCAATTAGCCTAATGACAACTTAGTGTCTTGACTCACCATCAAACCGTTGCTATGTCTAGAACCTGGGTAATGTTCTATGATGTGACCAGACAGACATCTCCTGGGTGAGCAGAGTTGAGCTGGCACTCGTTCCCCATCCACCTGTCCCCTCAGTTGATCACAGCAAGGTTAAAGAAGTATACTTCAGTTGTAGCTGCCTTTCTTGCACATCAAATGAATTTGTGTTTAAAAAGGAGGCCATTTATCCCAGCATTCTTGAGATAACAAGAGAATGAGTTCTTTGGTTATTAAGCATGAAAAGAAATAATATTGCAAAAACACAAACACACAGATTCAGATTAAGTGTGTGCCCAAAAGTTAAAAGATATATGGAACAGTTTCCCAAAGTCCTTTGTGAAAGTAGATAGTGCAACTTTGGTAGTTGAACAGTTGATTTTGCAATTCTTGGCTCTTGGAGGTTAGATCAAATCCTCTTGTTATGTTTCTTTGGTTAGTTGCTAACACTCAGAGCAAGAGACCTCTTCTCATTGCATGTCCTTTTGACTGGCTTGAATCTTTGACTTTACAGCTCACAAGCACTTGAACCGTAACTAGTACACAGGGAACTCATTTCACCTTCTTACGCTAGCATGCGTGCACGCGCAAGCGCACACACACACTCTTCAGGATGCCTTTTTTCTTATATATTCCTGTACAGGAAAGGAAAACATACTTGCAAGAGGTGGCTTCCTGTTAAGAGGGTAAAGATAGTCATATCCCTCATTATCCCTTTCTGTTGCATCTCTCTCTCTCTTCCTCTTTGTTTGAAGTTTTGCTGACACTTTATGAATAACACATTCCATGCATCCCACACAGACAACACTCAATTTACATTCAGTCTCTTTTTTTGTCTGTCATAATTCTTTTTTCAAAAACACGGCTGGAATTAAATGTCCATAGTACTTTGGGATTTTGGTTTAGATCCATTGTCAGACACAGTAGACACTTAGTGAGGTAGGTAGAGCACCTAGTTCAAATAAACAGGATCCTCCACATAAACCAGTGCCTTATAAGGAGCAGAGGAAAGTTTCAATAGTAATTTAGTGTACTCTTCTCTTATTTAAATGTGTTTTAGGGTAATAAAAAAACCACAGTTTAAGAAGAAACCAAAATTTAGAATGAAATATACTTCATTCAGTCATACTAGGGGCAGCTGCGAGGTGGTGGGGACAAATCTTGGCATTTTGATAGCATCAATGCCTTGAGGTTCTTTTACATTTTTAATGTAAACTCCTTTACTCCTTCATCTCCTGACCTTCACTCCACTAAATTTCAGTTCCATGAGCAACAACTTGCCTCTGCATAACATATTGTTATGTTTAAACATCCTATGTAATTTAGCAGAAGCAATTATGACTTCAATTTACTATGGCTTTTAAATTTGTAATTCTGAGTTATTGGTGTTATTTTAAAACCCTGCTGGTCAGTGAGTCACAGAATCCATTTGGTTTTATTCCTAATCAAATTGACAGGATGAAAATCAGTTGGGGTCATATAAGGCAGACTAGGTTACGTGACTACAAGCTTAATGAAAGAATGAGCTTTTCAGAATGCCTTGAAGAAGAAGAAAGAGTGGAGCGTTTAGGAAGGAAATTTCCTAACATAGGAGCTAGTCCGAGTTAGTAACCACACCCACCAATGGTGAAGCAGTTAAGGTTAGGAATGCTCAAGAGCCAGACTTGGAGGAAAGTGGAGATCTGAGACGGTCCTAGGGCTTGAGGAGATTCCAGAGATAGGGGAAGGTGTGTGACTATAGAGAAATTTGAAAACAAGCGTGAGAATTTTAAATTTGAGGTTTTTGTGTGACTCTGAGCTAATGTGGATCATTGAGCATGGGGATGGTGGTGAACAAGATAAGATTACATTCGGTGGCCAAATGGATAAAAACAGAACTGTCATCTTGACTCCATATTTAATTATGCTATTAATCAAATGCATTCTGATTTTCAACCTATCATTTGAATCAATAACACAAGAAACATTTTCTCTCTTGTCTACATTGTTTGTCCCTCAGATGTTCTCACCCAGATTTCATTAATTGTCTTAGCTACTTGCTAAGACCACAATTATCATTTCAACATGTAAAGCCTCCATAACTTTGGATATGATTGAAGGAGGCTATTTATCGGGGATTATTTCAAAAGACCAAGTTAAATGTAACATAGCAAAGGGTCTAGAACAGATCTATTACACATTTTTGTTTGCAATTCCTGAAAATGAAGCCTAGACTTCTATTTGCACACGCAGCGATCCATGGATGGTTTTCTACCCAGAAAAACGAAAAAGGACATAATTTCTTTTAATAAAAGGAAGTTTCAAGTGCTAAAACTAAGAGATGCCAGTGTTAAATAATGTACGTTTCCACCTTGCAGACCCATGTAATTGGAAATGTACTGCTTTTTAAGATGTGGAACTAATCTTACCCATGGAGGTTAAAACTTGCATAAGCCCACTGAGGAATTTAGAGTTCTTAAATTTTTAAAGCCCATGTAAAGTAATTGCTTGCAACATTGTGTTCAAAGTTGAAGTGTAATTTTACTCCAGTATTAAACAATCCCAATGGTAATACAGATGAAATTTGCTCATGGCTTGCCCCACTCCACATATTCATTTTAATTCACTGAAATTGGTGATTGCATCAAAATGGGTTCAGTGGTTGTATTGATCCAATAATTAGGTAATTGCCTCACTGCAATTTATAATTATTTAATCAACCTGCTCAGACACATTATGATAGAAACCCTGGAGCAGCTTGGGCATGATCCTGGATCCTCCAGTCCAGAGGTAGGGACAATGCAATTGTCTTGGATCACAGGGTGTATCCAAGCAGTTCTTTCCAGATTCTGTTAAATGTAGTTAAGAGAAGACTCAACAACATAAATTTGCTTAAATATGAACATTTATTGAGTAATAATAAAAAACGGAAAAAGAAAAGAACATTTATTAAGTAAATAAAAAGAATGAAAAAGAAAAGAGAAAAACAACAAGCCTCACACCGTTCTGCCCATCAGGGACCCCTCAATCAATGGCAGGTCTGGAGGCTCAGGTCGTTCTTGGTACCATTCGTGATCCCGGTCCAAGGTAAAGTCCAGCGACTTGAAACAAGTCTGTCTCTTATATAAGACAGCAAGAACTGCAGATGCTGGAGTCTGAGATAACAAGGTGTGGAGCTGGAGGAATACGGCAGGCCAGGCAGCATCAGAGAAGCAGGAAAGTTGACGTTTCAGTTCAGGACCCTTCTTCAGAAATTCAGAAACTGCAAGGCACAGAAAAACAACTACAGAAAAAAACACATTGATTGTGCCGGCTTCCGCATGTGCAGGAATGTTCACAGGATTCATTCAACATCATGCAACTGTCGAATATCATCCACAAGTTTAGCCCTTCAGCCCATCCTATGCAGCCATTGGACTACAAGAGCACTCCACTGTAGTTAAATAGTGGCTTAACACTGGCTGATTGATAAGAAACAAAGGTTGCTGGAAAAGCTCAGTAGGTCTGGCAGCATCTGTGAAGAAAAAATTCAGAGTTAACTTTTGAGGTCCAGTGACCCTTCTGCAGAACTGGACCCATAACGTTAACTCTGATTTTTTTCTTCACAGATGCTGCCAGACCTACTGAGCTTTACCAGCAACTTCTGTTTCAGTTCCTGATTTACAGCATCTGCAGTTCTTTCGGTTTTTACTGGCTGATTGATGGTCAGTTTCAGCTGAGAGGCCCCTGTTAAGATGCAAATTTAGGTTCTGCAATGCACAAGGAGGCAGCAGTGAGCCATTCAGCCCCTTGAACCTCATTTGCCTATCCCTATTGGAAACAAAGGAAGTTTGTGTTTTTTCATAGTCACTGGATGCCTTGTGGTGCTTTACAACCAATGAAGTACTTTGAATTGTAATTGTTGATGTAGGATAGGAAATGCAGCGACTAATTTACAGACAGCAAGGTGATAATGACAAAATTTCTGTTTCGGTGCTGTTGAATTAGAAATATTAGCCGGGATATCAGCTTTTTTGTTGTTTGAAATAATGCCATGGTGTCTGGTTTGTTCCACTTGATAGCGGCATGTGCTTCAGTTTTAATGTCTAATACAAAAAAACAGCATCTCTGAGGGCGACATGGAATGTCAGCCTTGATTTTTTTGTTCAAGTCTTGGATTGGAATTTGAACTGGGATCTTGTGGTTTGAGAAGGTGAGATTGTTGCTACTGAGCCATCGCTAACACACAGAGAGAATGATTTCTGAATTCTACCAAATCCTTTCAGAATCTTATGGGCCTTGATTCATTCCATGCTCCACCTTCTAGGCTCAGAAGGTAGTGAATACAGACATCAAAATTTAACACAAAAACTGAATACTACAAATGCTGGTAAGAGTCAGCAGGTCAGGAAGCATCAGTGAACATAGAAGCAGAGTTATAGTTCAGGTTGATGATCTTTCATTATAACCTGAAATTCATACATTAACATCTTGGGCCCAATATCATTCTGTTGACCATGCTGTATAGCCTCCAAAGATAATATCATTCCCAAGGTTCAATGCTGAGAATTGAATTTGCTGCACGCAGTTTGACCAAGGCTCCGTACAATAAAGTATAACTTGGTCATGTTTGTATTCCACCTCTATTTCTCTCTCGATAATTTTCCATTACTTTGCATATGTGCAAAAATTTTTAATGATGTGTGTGCAAGGATATACAAATCTATTTGCCCCTCCACAGCTTCAAGTCTCTTCCCATTAAGAGGATATGCTGATTTCTTGGATCTAATTGACTTTACACTTTCTCAACAAATGACTAATGCATATCCATACAGGGAATTTGCAATGATACTTCCCTTATCTCCCACATTGATTAGACCTTTTAGATTAGTCAGATGTTTTGATGCTCACAACTTGCTTAAGAAGTTTCAAAAGAGGTTCAGGCTCTGACTTCACCAAGACAAAAATATTAAAATCACTCCTTAGCCCAGTCATGTCAGCAGAAATTGTTTGGAATGCAAGATCAACCTGAACAGGAAAACAGATTTAGGCAGAGCAACAGGAGATGTCCCAAGAAAGTTCACTACCAATCAGTTTGTCCTTTTTGTATGATTAGCTAACGTTTGGTTCTAGAAATGAAGTTTAATAAATGTTCCCTTTTTCTTTCAGACTGTTGCAGTGTCTGTATCTGTACTGACACTGAGCTGCATAGCACTGGATCGCTGGTACGCGATATGTCATCCACTTATGTTCAAAAGTACAGCCAGACGAGCGCGAAACAGTATAATTATGATATGGATTGTCTCCTGTGTAATAATGATTCCCCAGGCAATTGTAATGGAATGCAACATCATGGTGCCAGAGTTAGCAAACAAAACACTTTTATTCACCATCTGTGATGAGCATTGGGGAGGTAAAGAAAATTTTATATTTTTGAACATCTTAAAATTGTAAAGAAAAACTAAACCACAAAAATCCAGACTGCCTGCACTTTACTAAGCACTGATGATCATGCCGATAGAAACTGTGCAGGCTGAACCTATACTCTCTGAAGTTTAGAAGAATAAGAGGCACTGTTGCTGAAACGTATGAGGTTTATAAAGGACTCAGCAGGGTCGATGCACAAGGATACTTCCCCAGGCTAGAGAGTCTGTTACCAGGGGACACAGTCTTAGAATGAGGTAGGCCATTTAGGATGAATCATACAATCCCTACAGTGTGGAAACAGGCCATTCAGCCCAACAAGTCCACACCGCCCCTCTGCAGACTATCCCACCCAGACCCATTCCCCAATCCCTGCATTTCCCTGTTTAACCCAAACATCCCTGGGCACTATGGGCAATTTAGCATAGCCAATCCATCTACCCTGCACATCTTTGGACTTTGGGAGGAAACCGGAGCAAACCCGCACAGACACCGGGGAGAACGTGCAAACTCCACACAGACAGCCACCCGAGGGTGTAATCGAACCCAGGTCCCTGGCACTGTCAGGCAGCAGTGCTAACCACTGAGCCTCCTGCCGCCCTTGATGGGGAAGAATTTCTTCACTGAAGTGTGATGAATCTTTAGAAGTCTGTACTGCAGGAGGCTGTGAATGTTCAGTCATTGAGTACATTCAACTCAAAGATTGATATATTTCATATATTGAAGCCATCAAGGGATATGGGGAAAATAGTATTGAAGCAATGCAGCCATGATCTAGTTGAATGGCAAAGCAGGTTCAAGGGGTAGAATGGCCTGCTCCTGCTCATCTTCCTTATCTTCCAATGCTTATTACATGTTCCACAGAGCCAAGTCATTAGCCAGCACTATGCTTTTTTTTTGTTTGCTTTTTGTAGAACAAATTACAGAACTTATATAAATATCTGCCTTTCTGCTTTCATAGCAGTGACTTTATTAACATCGTTCAGCCAAGCCTGATACAACACTAGAAAACACAAGACATTTTCAATACTCCGGAGAAATGAAATTTTCTTACAATTATAATTGAGAACTTATCATTAATTGTCACCGTGCAATAGCTGTGACTGTGGTTGGTTTGTTTTGAACACAGCCGGTGCTGGGTGGACTGCATGCTGGAAAATAAGACCTGTACATCACTGCAGTCCTTCAAAGGACTCCAATAAACTCAGTGTTGAGAACAGGCTTGCCTGATTATTGAGCTATGACAAAGAGGAATGCTCTTCCCAATCCTCCATTCGAATCACATAGGCTGCTCCTGGCCAATTTTGTCCCATCATTGCATTCTTGACCCATTTCCATTGGCCACTGGCTGATATGCAGTCTTCCTGATTTCCCTGTATCTCCTACTGTCTTCCCAGGTGGCAATTAGGCATCCACAATGTTACACCTTGATAAGAAGAAGGCTCAATATTAGTGTGCACTGAACCATCCTTTTAGAAACAGGGGTCATTTCTGCTCCCTCTGGCTGTTCATTTATGGATGCATTTTCTAGGCTATTATGCTTAAATATCTAAGTGGCCAGTCAACAGAATGCATGCAAGCAGATTGAACAAGTTTGGACGAATCTAGCTGAAGAAGTAATATCATCAAACAACGCACCTAAAATAATTCCAACCCCAGTTGTTAGCCATGGCTGTACATTTAGTGATAACTTGTCACTACTCTAACCAGATCAATACTGCGAGATCCTCTTGAAACTCAGTAATCTAATCCTGAGGTTCTATTATTTCAGGACTTTTTTGTTATTTATTCAGGAAATGTTGGCATCACTGGCTAAGCAGCATTTTTTGCCCATTTCTAGTTGTCTTTAAAAAGGTGATGGCAAGCTGTCTTCTTAAACTGTTGCAGTTTATGTAGTGTGAGGTCATCATACTGGTATCCAGTAAAGGGATCATGGTCAGTGAGATGATGGGCAGTGTGTTAGAGCTTCTATTTAATAGTTACTCAGGAACTAGATTAGGTTTTTAATCCTACAGTATTTTTTTCTATTAAGCTAACTGAGTCAAAACTGTCTGAATTCTCTAACCTTGAGAGTCTATTTTAGAGGGTTCCAATTGCAGGGAAATTGCCCATTGGAAGTTTCAATTTCCTTGATAATGCCCTTGGAGTCAGCTGCACCATGGTTTCTGCGTGGACCTGATGTACAATCCCAGCCTGAGCTGCTCCAACAACTACCTGGCCATCGGAATATCTAGGCCCATCTTCAACTTTCCAGTCCCCATTAATAGCAACTGGAGGAATGTAACATTGAAATTTAAACCAAGCAGTGGGTCAACATTATGTTCAGTTACTATTACCTGATTAGAATTAATCATTTCAATTTTATTGAATTTCAACGTACAATTTCATTTCTATTTGTCTTTTGTTCGTTTCAGATGACATTTACCCCAAGATCTATCATATTTGCTTTTTCATTGTTACATATATGGCCCCTTTGTGCCTAATGATTTTGGCCTACTTTCAAATATTTCGGAAACTTTGGTGTCAACAGGTAAGTGTGTGCCAACACCTTCCATGGAAAGATTATTATTACTCTCATGTAGGTTGCCACATACTTGATTTTACATTTAAATTACAGATACCGGGCACTTCCTCAGTAGTCCAAAGAAATTGGAAGCCTCTTGCCCTGCAGTGTTCATCTCAGAAGGCTGGCAGAAGACAGGTCAAGTCACAAATAAATGCTGTTGCTGCAGAAATCAAACAGATTCAAACAAGACGGAAAACAGCACGGATGTTTCTGGTGGTTTTCATTTTTTTCACACTTTGCTACCTTCCAATTAGTGTTCTGAATATTCTGAAAAGGCGAGTTAGCTATTTCCAGATACTGTCATTAAATTAAATGTATACAGTATCTGAAACATTCATAAGCCTCATTTATAAGAAGTTGTTAGCATTGTCTCCTTAATTGGGTGTGGTAAGCATGCCATCTTATGATTTCTCTATTCATGAAGTTGGAATACATTTTTTATTCAGTTACCTTTCTGTATCTATCCATTTGTATTCATTTATTGATCTTTATATCTTTTTGAAGAAAATCCAGAAAGTAACATGTATCCAAAGTTGTTTACAATTTTAAAATACATTTACTGGGCTCCAAAGGAACAATATGAGAATGAGACTGGATAGATCTTTCCAAAAGCCATTTTAGTCTTTGAACCCATTTGTTTTCAACTGTGTTGTAATTTTTACTATTTTTTTGAAGAAATTCAAAATAGCAACAATGAACATATCTGTCATAACTTTTGCAGTCAGGGAATCTGAGTCACTCCCAAATTATTGTATTCCTTCATTTTTAGCAGTTAACTTAAATTCTGCTTTTGATCTTTCCTTTCTTCCTTTTTCCTGCCGTTGTACTGACTTTAAAACCTGTTGCATCTTGAAATTTTTTCAGTCATGATGAATGGTCATTGTCTTGCTTGTAATTCTGTTTCTGTCTTGAGGGTTGCATTCTGAGTATCTCAATCATTTTCCATTTTTCTTACGTATTGTAAAATACCCACAATATAATGTGTCCATAGTTTTGAAAAAAATGACTGTGCAAGGTTTGAAATGAATCTATTTATCTCTTTCTTGCCATATATCCTCACAATCCACATTGCAGGTGAGAGCCATTTTGGTTTTATTGGGCCAGTGATATCATGATTAGCTAACGTGACTGTGTGTAAAATCTAAGAATTCATCCCTGAAACAGAAAGGCACCTTAGCATTAAACTTGCCCAAACTTTGTATTCAAAATGCCATTAAAGTTATACCATGTTACTGCACTCTACATCAGATGTGAGATAGTGTTCTCCTATCGGTACAGTTGTTATTGCCCAGGTACACATGGCATGGATGAAAATGAGTTAAACAGGATTACACACCAGTGACCAAGATCAATTTTTACATACGAATATAAGAACCAGATGCAGGAGTAGGCAAATCAGTCCCTCGAGCCTACTCTATCATTCACTACGAATATGGCTAATCTCATCTCGGCTTCAACTCTATCTTCCTGCCCGCTCCTCATAGCCCTTCAACCCGTTTCTAATTAAAAATCGGTCTATCTCCTCCTTAAATTTATTCAATGTTCAGGTACCTGCCATACCCAGGTTAGTAGTTCCACAGATTATTTGAGAGAAGTAATTTCTCCTCATCTCTGTTTTAAATCTGCAACCTCTTATCCCAAAACAATGACCTCTCATTCCAGATTGCCTCACAAGAGGAAACACCCTCTCAGTGTCTACTTTGTCAATCCTTCTAGCATCTTCATTGATCAAATTGATCTCCTTTCATTCTTTGTAAATCTAGAGAGTATAGGCCTAAACAGCTCAATCACTCTTCATAAGACAAATGCCTCATCTCTAGAATTAATATAGTGAATCTCCTCTGTACTGCCTCCATTTAACTATATCCCTTCTCAAGTAACGAGACCAAAACTCTAGATGTGATCTCACTAATGCATTGTGCAGTTGCAGCAACACTTCCTGACATTTTTTTTTCCGTTCCTCTAACAATAAATGCCAAAATTCCGTTTGACATTTTTTTTGCTCCATCTGAATTATTGGTAGAGATTGAGTGGGCTTCCACATGGGATCCTCTCTGCTACGTCTTTCTCTCTAACAGCCACTACAGTGAAGCAGAGCCTTGAGTTTTCAGAACAAGCAACAGAGGAAGCAAATTGATTTAAAATCCCCCAACATAGATTCTGCCCTTTAACACAGGTCACACGGTAATTACAATTATGAGGTGATTAAGATTATATTTACAGTTGTGGTATAGTTCTGTAAAATGGCCATAGGGACTGATATAATTTTTCTTGTTCATTTCTTCAGGGTGTTTGGAACCTTTGACAATGTTAACAACAGAGCAACACTCTATGCGTGGTTTACCTTCTCACATTGGCTAGTGTATGCCAATAGTGCTGCAAATCCTATCATTTATAACTTTCTGAGTGGTAAGTTGCCTTGTTTTCAATCGGTACAGAAAGACAAGTGTTACCAGAGTTATTTTTGCTTCAGGATTACAAAATGCTTGACCTGACAGTATACAAGCAAAGATCCTGCAGGGAATGAAGGAAATAAAATTATATTTCAACATTCTATTGACAGTGGATGTAACAAAACAATAAATAGGCCTCCCAGCACCTTGAGCATGCTCTGCTTTTCAATGAAATATTCTACTTCAACATAATTTCCTGCACTATTCCTGTATCCCTTGATGATTTGAATGTCTATTTATCTCTGTCTTGAACGTACTCAATAATTGAATCTCCACAGTCCTCTGTGACAAAGAATTCCAAAGGTTCACCATTCTCTGAATGAAAAAATTCCATGTCACCTCAGTTCTCAATGGTCTGTCCCTTATTCTGAGACTGTGCACCACTCTGCCCTCCTCAGCCAGGGGAAATATCCTTTCTGCATCTACCCCGTAAATGATCAGGAACTGGAAAAAAGCAGACACAGTTGGACTGAATGACTTCCTTCTGCACTATATCATTGTCTGACTCTTTCATAATGTATTACTTATTGTCAAACCCAAAGATAGCAACTTCAGAGTCACTTACAGGTCAGTTATAGAATCATAGAGTCATAGAGATGAAAAACATGGAAACAGACCCTTTGGTTCAACCTGTCCATGCCGACCAAATATCTTAAATCTAGTCCCATTTGCTAGCATTTAGCCCATATCCCTCTAAACCCTTCCAATTCATATACACATCCAGATGCCTTTTAAATGTTGTAATTGTACCAGCTTTCTCCACTTCCTCTGACAACTCATTCCATACACACACCACCCTCTGGTGAAAAAGTTGCCCCTTAGGTCCCTCTTAAATCTCTCACCTTAAACCTGTGCCCTATAGTTTTGGATCCCCCATCCTGGGGAAAAGACCTTGGCTATTGACCCTATCCATGCCCCCCACGATATTATAAACCTCGATAAGGTCACCCCTCAGCCTCTGACGCCCCAGGGGAAAAAGCCCCAGCCTATTCAGTGTGAGAATGCTGTCACTCTAAAAAGGTTATTTTGTCCTGAGCTTTTTTGAAGAGAAGTTGTAAAGGCAGAGGCGCTGAAGTGGCTGCTGTCGACAACCTAAGTCAATAATTTGTGAGGCTTTCGGTTTTCTTTAAAACAGTTGTACAACGGAAGGGGAGTGTCCAGTTCTCACAGATCAGGCTTTCCAGTTTTTTTGTGGCTGTAGCAGTCAGAAGCTGTTTGGGTCCCAGAGGAGTTGGAGCTTCAATAAAATGATTCCTAGCTGCTACATTCTCTGAAATCTCTCCAAATGTTGTTTCCTCCTAGTTTGGAGAATTGCCTGTAAGAATCTGTCTGAATTTTCCTTTTTGCCAAGGGGTGTATTTATGGGATGTTACTATAAAGGAACAGTTAATTAGTAATAGGTACTGTATCTGTTATTCGGTTAAGTTTTACAATAGTTAAGTTACTCTACATTCCTCTTTTTCTGTCTGTATTTTAGCTATAGTGTTTGAATAAATTATGTTTTGCTTGATGTTGAGTGGTTTGACCAGTTGCATCCCATCTGGAACATGCACTTAACATCTACCTTTAAAATGAAAAAGTTAGGGTCTAGGCTACCTTCTTAAAATACTTTGAGGAGTTCTGGTCTGGTCCATAACAACAGCCTCTCCCCATTGCTCAAACCCACCAACCCTGGCAACATCCTTGTAAATCTTTTCTGAACCGTTTCAAGTTTCACAACATCTTTCCCATAGCAGGGAGACCAGAATTGAATGCAGTATTCCAAAATTGGCCTGACCAATGTCATTTTATCTGTGTTAAGGCAAGTTTGCTGGGGTTAAGGTGCAGAAATTCAGCAACACCTAGTTTGGACATGCATTGGCACAGCTGTAGGATGCAATCCCTAAAGCTTTGGTGAAGCTGAAGATACCCCAAATATTGGGTTTTGGGTCTCATTTTGATCAAGTGAAAGCCATGAGTATCATACCTGGCATGGATTGACTGAACATCAGGCAACTGTTGGCATTCTATTGGCTTCCAGTTTAGTAAGAGATAGTAAAAACTGCCAATGCTGGAGTCAGAGATAACACAGTGTGGAGCTGGAGGAACACAATGGGCCATTCAGCATCAGAGGAGTAGGAAAGTTGACATTTCGGGTCCATCTCCCCATCCCCGGCCTCATCCCATGACCAGCCCTCCCTCTCATCCCCACCTCCTTGACCTGATACAACCTGTCCATCTTCTCTCCCACCTATCCACTCCTCCCACCTCACTGACCAATTCCCACCACTGCCTACCTGCACTCACCTATCACCATCCAACCTACCTTCCCCAGTCCCATCCCTCCTCTCTCTATTTATTTCTGGGCTCCCCTTCCCCCTCCCCCATTTCCAAAGAAGGGTCCCGACCCGAAACGTCAACATTCCTGCTCCTCTGATACTGCCTGGCTTCCAGTTTAGTCAGTTGGGCAATTGGAAGCATGGAGGAGCAAAGTCACCAGAGTGATGATACAGCTGAATGAGAGGTGACATTATTTGGATGATGAGGCGAGAGGAAATGACAGCTAAATAGAATTCAAGTTATTGGTACCAGTTAGTATCAATATTTGGCTTTCCTGAATGCAGCCCACCTTGGCTGCAATATCTATTCATATGAAGGCATGAACCAAGGAACAATAGCAATTAACCTGTTTGTGGCTTAATCTTGCATGTGGTTCCATGGATCATTCTACAATTTTCTGAGAGATGGATCAATAAGCCATTTCATGTATTATGGAGTGGCAAATCAACAAACTTCTTTACTTTACAACTGTTATATGAGGAAGTAGGGTAGTATTTATAAAAAAAAATCCTGTGGTGTTTTGAGTTCATTCAATCTCCCTCTTTATAATAACTAAAAGGATAACAAGCTGTCATTGCTACAGAGCTGTTACTTTCCAGCTCATTATATCCACTGGCTTTATTTTAAATAAATCATGCTCACCTCCTGCAGATTTCTTAAATGCTGCAGTAGACCACGTGTCCTGCGGGTTTTTTTTTGCCCATTCACTGGATTGGAAACCTACAGTTGAATCTCTGAAATGCTGCCAGTTATCTGTAGCCTGGGAGGTGAGCATTGCTGGTAAACCCAACATTTGTTACCTGTCCCCAGTTGGCCTCCTATAGTTGGTGGTGAGCTCTCTTCACAAACTACTGCAGTCTATCTAGTGTAGGTACACCATCCATGCTATAGAAAAGGAATTCCTGAAGGGATTGTGATATAATGCCCATAATTAGGTGGATTTGCCATGGGAAATACAGGGTTACAGGGATAGGATAGTGTGCGGGTCTGTGTGGGATGCTGTTCCAAGTGTGTTAGTGTGGACTCGATGGGCTGAATAGCCTGCTTCCAAACTTTGGGGATTCTATGATTTCTATGATATTCCCATATTGGGATGGTGTGGGACTTGGAAGGAAACATGTACATTGTGCTGTTCCCGTTGCATCTGCTACCCTCATTCCTCAAGGTGGTGAAAGTTGTGGATCTGAAACATGCTATTGAAGGAGCCTTGGTAAGTTGCTGCAGTGCACCTTTTAGACAGTGTACACTGCTCCCACCATGGGCTGGTGTTAGAAGGAGCCAATTTTTAAGGTGGTGGATGGTGTGGTAACCATGAGGGCTGATTTTTCCTCAATGATGTTGATCCTCTAGATTGTTGTTGGAGGCAAACATCTAGATACATTGGAGAGTAGTCTATCACATTCCTGAATCTGCCTTGTTGACAGTAGATATGCTTTGGGGAGGCAGGAAATGAGTTGCCATGGAATTCCCAGCCTCTGACCTGCTTTTGTAGCCCCAAGTTTTATATGGCTTGTCCAATTAAGATTCTATCAATGGTGACATCAAGATGTTGATGGAAAAACTGTCAACTAAACAAAGGCCATCACATTTTTGTGCATGTTAAAATCACATTTTAGTGTTGTCATACTCTTCAGGTCAATGCTTTGTTGCAATATTACTTAAACTTTTCATGAAACGAGTGCATGCAATAGGGAAGAGGCAGTAAACTCACTGGAGAATGTAATGCTGCCAAAGATTTGCAACAGCCAGATTCAGGAGAACAGTGCTCTCACAAATTACAAGATTGAATCGTATGCTAAATTTGCATGACAGCAGTATAATATGAATACAATGCCTGATAGCCCAATTTGTTTTCCGAGTATATTATACTCAGTATTTTATTTGCAAAAACTACCTTGAAATGTCTGACAAAATATTCATTCTGATATGTAATTCTCACCACTTACATTTTTCTTCTCCTTTTGTTTATGTATAAACATCCAGCTACCAACGATGCTTAAGGAATTGGATAACAAAAATAAACATGGCTTCATTTATTAAGGAATAGAGAAGTTGGGAGCAGTATTAATTGGAGAAATTGTACATATATCCAAATTAAAATCTTCGTCAGAACAAAACCCTGAGACCAAGAACCAGATGGAGTCATAGAGATGTACAGCACAGAAACAGACCCTTCAGTCCAACTCGTCCATGACAACCAAGTTTCCCATAATAAACTAGTCCTACATGCCTGCGTTTGGCCCACATCACTCTAAGCCTTTCCTAGTCATGTACCCATCCAAATTTCTTTTAAATGTTGTAACTATACTTGCATCTACCACCTTCTCTGACACATTGTTCCACATATGAACCACCCTTTATGTGAAAAAATTGCCCCTCAGGTCCTTTTTAAATCTTTCTCCTCTCACCTTAAAAATATGCCCCCTTGTTTTGAAAAATCCTACTCTAGGGAAAGGATATTTGTTATTTATATTATCTATGCTCCCATTATTTTATAAACCAATATAAGGTTACCCCTCAACCCCCTCGGCTCCAGTGAACAAAGTGCCAGCCTGTCCAGCCTGTCCTTATAACTCAAAATCTCCAGTCCTGGCAACATCCTGGTAAATCTTTTCAGAAACCTCTCCTGTTTAATAA